CTGGCGTGAGACGCTTGACCGGAGTAGACAACAATGATCTGAAGAGATTTTGGGCCATCTAGGAAAAAGACAAACAAAAGCATCATAAGGAGCAAACAGTGACCCTAAAAACTACCTACATTTTCACTGCCCTCTAGCCTATCCATTCTGTTGCTATTTTGATCCCTTACCAACTGATTCCAAAATTTCCCATTCACTTTCCCCAACTATTGCCAATTTCCCAAAACAGTTTCCTTTGATATATACCTTTGCTGTGTTCAATTTGGGCTACCTCATAACTCCCAATAGTACTTGGGCTACCCTTTGCATTCTGCTGCAATTCAGTGTATTTTATACATGCCACGTGCTGCTTAAAATATGCTGGTATTTTTATTTTACTGTATATATTGCGGGCACACCTACCCACTGGGCAAAGAAAGAATGGTCAGATTCTTACCTCTATCTTGCTATATCACATTTTTCCATTTGGAATATATACTATGGGCTGCCTAGTTTTACTATGAAATGGCAAAAGCCCATACTAGAATTGTGGTTAATGAAAAGAAAAGAAGTGACTTTAATTTTCTGAATCATGAACCAGTCTTTAAAGCACTATAGACATTTCTCAAGAACTCCAGATTCTCTGATCTGGCTTATTTTCTAAGCCTATCTGACAGTGAGAACAATCAACCAATGGAACAGCTTGCCCTCGGAAGTTGTGGGAGCGTCATCACTTGAGACTTTCAAGAAGAGATTGGACTCCCCATTTGTCAGAAATGGTGTAGGGTCTCCCGCTTGGGTGGGGGGAGGTTTGGATTAGATGACCTACAAGATCCCTTCCAACTCTGATTATCTGTTAAACATCTGCTTAATTTCTCTTGGTTTTCCCATCTTATAGTCTAAGTCGGGAGTGAATAATTTGTTTTGATTTGCTGTTTCTTTTACCTAAAAGCAAGGCCTTCTGTCCTGGGACATCATGGTTCCGGTATATTATTGAAATATACTTATTGATATCATAATACAAATAGCCTTCTTTTTAAATAGCACATCATTATTACTATATCAACTGAGTAAGTCAATGAAGCTAAATTATTTACAATTTTAATTATAAATAATGGATAAGGTATAATAGTTAAGTGATACTAAACAACTTGCCAATGCCATTCAAAGAGATTCATTTCCAATATATTCTGTCTGGTGGACAACCATAACACATTTATTTTGCCTACTTTATTTATTTTGCCTACTTTATTTTGCCTACTACCAGAATGTCTATAAAATATTGATAGAGCCTTGAAAGAGATATCACAGCCAGGATGCATGACTATGATATTAATATTGAACACTTTTACACTTATATTATCTAGACCACACAACAATTTTGTTAACAGCATTATTCCACAACAGCAAACTACTTTCATACAAACTAGAAATATAAAGAAAGAAGGCAGTATTGCAAATACAGTCATCTTTAAGCATAGTGAATTTGATTGTTGAAGGGTTTGGGAGAGAAGATGGAGTATCTGCTTTAAAATACATTTCCTCCAGAATTTCACATTTTAATAATCATTTTACATTCAAAATCAACATCTTGAAAATTTACTAAAGTGTGCTAACAAAATTAAGATCCCATTAACTGTCCAATCTGTTTTATTCAAACAAATGTAAAGCTAGGCCAATGTTTTTTCCAGAATACTTCTTTATCGTTTTGGGCCCCATATAAATGAAGTGCAGCTTATTTCCTTGTCTTAATTTAAATCTATACTCACTAACTCCTTGGCCTGGATGTTTTGGCATTAACCAAAGCAAACTTGTAGCTAAGGTAAAACACTTTTCTGAATATTCTCAATTTAACAAGGATCAGAATTTCTGCCAAAATATTACCCTGGCAGTGCTACCTGGTTCGTTCAACTCCCCTTACTTTAACCTGGATTTCTGAAACGTCCTGATAATAAATTCTTTATCCGAAAATCTTACTTCCTGGTCTGAAAAGCCCCCCCCCCCCCCACCTCCTCACAAACTTAAGACACGCGGTTGCAGGGATGAGGCAATCGCATTCTGCACATGTTCCAAGGTCGTCCTCTCTTTAGTCTGTATTAGGATAGCTCCTCCGGGAGAAAGCAGCTTTGTTGAAAATTAAACCCGACCTGCCTGCCTGTCAATCTCCCACTGGTACCTCCATTTCTTCAGCAGCTATTTCCCACTTGCAGAAAAGCCCTGAATACTGTACGTGCACGCCGTCCTCATTATACCACCTTCCCCTCCACTGTGAAGAGTGACTCTTAAGGGCTCCCTTATTCCCCGACATGAAAATAATAATAATCATCATAATAAATGGCCCCCGGGGCAACCGCTTCCCCACCTCTCACCTTCACCCCCCGCAGAGCCCCTCACGGCCACCCTGGAGAATCAAAAAACGGAACGATCTTCCGGGAGCTGATTGGACGAATGGACGCAGCTTTAGAACGCAACCATAACTACTCTCGTGGTGATTGGCTGTCGAAAGGAAACTGTTTGACAACTATGGTAGTGGATTGGGTAAGGCGGACAGCAGTAAGCATATCCTAACGTGCTTATTGGTTAAGAGAGAAAGGGAAGAAACTGTTCAGCCTGGGTGGCGATTGGCTCGAGCGGGAAATCTGACCTCGCCGCCTCTTCTTACTGCACCAATGGCGGGCGGGCGTTCGGCTCTGTGTTTGCTCAAATTCGCTGCGGGCGGGGTTGGAAGTACCCGGGCTGTGTGTGGGGAAGTCGGTAGTTTCGTTAACGGACTGAAATGTGAAGTAAAAACTTTGGGTCTTTAGGTTTTTTAAAGCGCCCTTGTTTGTGCTTGGCTTAGTTAATCGGTTTCTGAAATTAATTATAGTTAGTAACTGTAACCTACTATTCTGAAATCCAATTATCCTGACTTTTTAAATATAAATCTAAACTCAAATCTTTCTGGGTCAGCATCTTAACCAGTACATCAAACTGGAAAACAATCTGCACCGAATTGCATGAATTTATATCATGAACAGCATGGCACTTAATAAAATCTATTAACACTGGAGAAAGATAAAGGCTCCATTGTTGAGCATTTTAAAAAAAATTCTCCCTTCAATTAGGATATTGTTTTTTAAGATATTATGGGGTCATATTCTTTTCCTGTGAGGGCGCGTATATCTGAGAGAGAGATTTCAATATATAATTTTTGTGCTGCCCCAAGTTGCCTCCAGCGAACTAGGTAGCTATATAAATGTGTTTCTGTGCATTATGCATTTCATGTACGTACAATACTTGCCAAGTTTCAATATAAGAAAAACCACTAAGTTTGTACAATAGCTGTTATATAATTTAATTTAAAAAGCTATGCATTAGTTAAGTCATCACTTCATTGTATTGCAAACTGCTTACTGGTTTTATGAAACTTGCATTGTTATAATGTAGTTTATTATTATTTTATTAAATGTCCAGTGAAGGGGCTTTTCCTACTGTTATTACTACAATAGCATTACATAAATTGTTTTCAACAATGTTGCTCCAGGGCTGCTTTTGCAGAATTGCAGTATTTAAATTCTTTCTTTTAAAAGGCAAAATTTTTAGTCCTTATGTGCCTAATACCCTTTTGGGGCCAAAGGTGGCACTTCATCTTTGAATAGTAAGCCATAACTACATTCCAACTAGTCTGGGTGATATAAAAATATATTAATGCAATACAAAATGTAATTATTTAAATTAAATATATTAAATTAAATATAATTACAACTTATTCCTATATTCTGAATTGTCTTAATCTTTTAAGAATTACAGTTCAGTGGTGCCTTTGGGAACGGCTCTGCATTCATATCCAAGAAAAGATTGCAGCATTAAAGTCTGAATGCAAAAACAGACACAAAAATATGAACACAAAAACAAATGGACAAGCTATTAGCATGTGGTTAAAATTTTAGTTTCTAAATCTTTTTAAAAGTAAACACTTAAAATATGTTTGGATCTACCTGTACCACAAATCAAGATTTTGAAGAAACGATTGTCTAATTCAAAATGTTAATGCTTTGTGTGGGGAAATGCAACAGGGCAATGTGCCACTTTTTGTTGTTTTCGGACCTCACAAGATTGCTCTGTTCCGATTTTTTTTAGTATATACAGGTAGTCTTTGCTTAGCTACTGGCTGAAGTTACAGTGGATCTCCCCAAGCATTTTACAACCCATTTTCGAAGTTCTGATGGCTGCACCCCTCCTGGTCCTGGTTGTATTTGAGCACTTGGAAACCAGCTCACATTTAGATGCATTTGCAGCATCCCAGTCATTTCACTGTGACTTTTGATGGATTTTTCTGGGTTTCAGCATTTACTTTTAATTTCTGTAGTAACCATTAGTGAGAACAGGTTTGCTTAATGGCCACCACTAAAAAGGTTGTAAAGTCAGGTGCAGTCCTGTAGTGATCTACTTAATAACCACTATTATATGTGACTGTAATTCTGAGCCCAAATACAGTTGTAAGTTGAGAACTACCGTATCTGTATCCTGAAAGGTTGAAAGGCTCTTGAGTCTTTCCCACTTCATAAACCCTACTGCTGTTAGTTTCATGATAAAATAAAAATGTTTTAGATAGATAGAATTCTTTATTGGCCAATTCTTTATTGTGATTGGGAACACAAGGAATTTGTCTTGGTGCAAATGCTCTCAGTGTACATAAAAGAAAAGATACATTTGTCAAGAGTCAAGAATCATAAGGTACAACACTTAATAATAATCATAGGGTACCATAAGCAATCAAATCATACTAGAAAACAGTCTATATAAATTGTAAGGATACAAGCAACAAAGTTTAAAAGATTTATCCAAAAGAATACAACCATACAAAATATACAGACAGTATAAATGTACACCAGTTATTGCATAATTAAATTACACTGATTAATTTTATTAACTGGACAAGTATTTTAAGTTAATAAAAATACTGTTCTGTAAAAGACAAATATTCTCAAAATGAAGGAGCTGCAATTGTCATTTTCCTCCTTGGAATTATTGTAAATGCCTGAATATTTAGTGAATAAGGTATATGGTAAGTATATGGTAGTCTGAAAAGAACAAGATATCACTGCTTTCTGTTTAACAGTAGCAAAATCTGACCTTTGGGGGGGAAAAGCCTTGCATACAGCTCAAACCTTGCTTAATAAACCATACTAATATCCAGTCTTAACTCCCAATGCAATTGCATATTCATATTAATCTGAGTATCAGCCATGCAAAGTATGTCATTGAATATTCATGCTTGAGCTGGAGTGGATTATGTTCCATTCAGGTTTTCTGTACTGATCATACACATTTAGGAAATAGCAACAATATCTGGACAATAAGAAGAGGCAAGAATGAAGATAGATGTAATATGGTTGAATAATGGAGGTAGCTTGGTATGAATCAGTATCATTAAATGAAGTTTACACTAGTTTCTAGCTTGGTAATGGAGCTAATTCCTTCTCTAACACTTTTCCTATATTACAGAATTGTATGATCTTCACATATGTTAATACGACCAAACCAAAAATGTCTGGTAGAAGTGATATCAAATATCTTTTTGGACTTGTATAAATACTCCTAATTTGTGTTCAGGAATACCATTGGCATATCTAACCCAGTATTATCTATCTTCTAATTTTATACTTTCAAACACATTGGAATGTATCTCTCACCTCTAACCAACGAATTGCAGAACTATCCCAAAACTTTGGTCCTTCTTGTTTAATTTGGTAATTTTTTTTCTTCCTTAATTTTTAGCCATGGCATTGTATGGCTGAGAATTTTGGGAAATGTAGTTCATGAATCTGGAGGGCATCATCTTGAGGCAATGTGTGACAGGAATCAAAACAAGGATTTCTTATGTGCTCTGCTGAGACAAGAAGAAAATGTATGAATGTTATTCATTCTATCCGCCAAGCAGATAGAAGATATAAATAAGAAATGAGTTTGGATTATTTACAGTTTGTTAAACACAACTCAATGGAAGTCAATCGATGCATTGGAGGTAAAGGTGCAAAGAAGTACAGACCTCTTTTACCTTAAAAAATATGAAAAATGCATAAAATAGGAAACACTTGATTAAACTCAATTAAGTGGGGCATAGTGCAAACAGAAGTGATACTCTGTTAATATGCAAGAACATTCTGTCTTGAAATAAGCAGGCTGGCATTCAACAATGCCAGTTCTACAGAACACACTAATGACGACAACAACAGTGCATCTTGAAAACCTGGTATAAAAGGAGCCAGGATCAGCTATTAACTCTTACTGGCCTAGAAACATCACTCTTCTCAAATGCGTAAAATTTTCCACCTCTACAGGCTAACAGTATCCATTAAAGTCTCATCTGTTCATTCCCACCCAGGAAAGTAAACATTTGTGTTTATAAAGATCTGCAAATTTGTGCAAGAACATGGTATGGATGAGATGTCCTCATCTAGGAATGGTTAGGAATACTGGTTGCTGGAGCTCCTCTGCAGATCTTTGCCATGTATTGTGGCTGTAACGCTTGTGAGTTTTGAAATAGTTGGGTGGAAGCTAAAGTTCATCCTTGGTGGTTGTAAGATGCTGCAGCTGATGACTAGATATCTTTGTACTTGTCAGCAGCTGGTTGTGGGATTGCATAGCACCACTCTCTTGTTCATCTTGAGACTTCATAGCTGTATGTTCAGTCAACTCTGCTGCTATTCTGTGATGCTGAAGCTTTTCAGTTCCCACAAGCCCTTGCTTTCTCATGTATCCTTGCTGGCAGAAGGGAGGCAGCCTCAAGTGAGTGAAGGCAAACAGAAAGCAGGATTCTGTACAAACAGGGAGAAAGTGATCTCTATTGCATGCTTTACAGGTTGTTATATCCAAAAACTGAAACAGAATAGTAGTAAGCACTAATAGCATTTTCACCCGCTGAGTAGATTATGGTTCTTAGTTTGTAATTGATTTGCTAACTCTAGCAAAGATTCCTACAGTATGTGAATCAGCAACAATCTGAGTTCATTTAAGCCTCTATTATAAGGAAATGGGAAATATTGTTAGAGATATAATTATACTCCATACCAGAAAAAGAATTAAACAAAGGGTTGAGAAAAGTCTCATGTTATCACCCACTTAGCAGTTTTTCAAAAGACTCAGAAGTTCAGCTTAAAAAAAAATCAGTAACATAACTTTCCAATCCTTAAGATTGTGAAGTGTATATGTCAATGTCAATGCTCACTGAAATCTCATCTTATAAAGGACATCTGGGTAAAGTTTGTTAAATAAGAGTAGCATCAGATTTTACATGGTATTTTGAGCTCATACTTTAAAAATGCCCATCTGGGGAGGAAGTTTAAAGGGTACAATCAGTACCTTAAAACATCTACAAGGCTTTATGCACCAATTAAAACTGGCAAATTGTCTCTAAATGCAAAAAGACCCAGTATACTAGCTAATTTCATTCTTTAAGAGGGTTCTGGGGACACTCAAAAAATGTTGGTGGGCTACATGAAACACCCCATAAATTATACTTTTTGCTTTTCAGATATAAAAACATGGACATTGTTGTCTTCTAAATAGTTCTCTGGCTTGTGGGTAGATGTATTACAGAGTCCATTGTGCTGTAAGTATAACACAACTAACGCTTAGCTGTAAACTATGGTAACTGTATTCATATATTGTAATAGGTCCATATCAAACCAAACATGTAGCTTATTCATTTAGGAAACATAAACAGACAATGTACAGGCAAAATGTAGTTCAATATGTTTGTGCTTGTCTGCCCAAGAGCTAAAACTAAACAGAAATGTTTATGTGCTTCTCTGGGCACAGAGATGTGAAGATCTTTGCACATTTAGTGTTCAAACTCTGGAGATGGATGAACGAGACTTGTGAGTTTACAATCTCCCCATAACAGGTACTGTAACTTCCTGGAGTCCTTGACTGAAAAGAGATATGCAAATATCTTTACTAGTGTTTATGACACGTCTGAAAAAACCCATTTTGCCTTTAGCATGCTAATCCAGAGAAATAAAGCTCTTGCCAGGAAATCCACAGAAATCTAGTACAAACAAAGCTCTTAAATCCAGTTTTAATATGCAGTTCTCAGTACAAATATTTTAGTTGTAAGTCCAAATTGTCCTTTTTTAATCTTGTGCCCATTTCAGGTGATCACGAATTCACTGCAATATCTCTGGTACTATTACCTTCCAAGGACTCCACAAAGATCAAGAGACAGACCCACTTTGATTATGTGTAAACATAGATCTTGGCTGAAAGGAATGTAATGGTTACCTAGCCTATCTGCCTGCTATTCCCTAAGGATTCATTCCTAACGAGTTCCCAGAATACCTGCATAGAATCTGCGCAAATCAGTTTCAAGGCAATTCTCCAAGAAACGTCTCAGTGGGAGGACATGTGCATTTGGTGCAGTCCAGTCAGTCAGGAAATCTTCCACAATATGATGGATTGCGTCTGGGCGAGGCAAGGGCCAATCTGGTGGGCAAAGTCTCATTTCTCGTTCTATTGGGAAAAGAGAGAGAGCGCACAAAGTAAAACAATGGGCAAGAAACTAATTTGGGAAGCTGAGAGTTTCACTCCCTCTCTAGAGCAGGGGTCTCCAAACTTGGCTACTGTAAGACTTGTGGACTTCAGCAAAGCTGGCTGAGGAACTCTGGGAGTTGAAGTCCACAAGTCTTAAAGTGGCCAAGGTTGGAGACCCCTGCTCTAGAGAGTCTTGGATTGCAGACATTTGCTTTACAAGTTAGCATTCAACAACAAAAGGACAATTAAAGAAAAGAACAGAAGAGAATATTTGTAGCTCAGGGCTGAACTATGGAGTCCTTGGTGGTCTCTGAGTTTGGTTGTTTGCGTGTAGATGTTCCATTACCTGATTAAGTAACATAATTGGTAATGTTACCTAATTGGGCAATGAAACATCTACACGCAAACAACCAAACTCAGAGCACCAAGAATTCCACAAACAAGTTATATTTTCCTAATGTGAGGTACCTCCTTGCAAGCATGAGGTACCCTAAGATTTTTTTGGTTTTTCAGAGGCAATAGGAAAACTAAAAATGACGGCAGATGATATTACTAGGAAAGACAGTATTTTGGTGCAGGTTGAGTATGTTTACCTGCTCTACCCCTCCCCCCCCCAGGTTAAAATAGCATCCACATATTATTTACTCATTCTTTCAGTCAAATTGTAATTTGCATAACCCAACCAGCTAAAACATGCCCTATTTATACAGTTGTTATGGTATTCACCAAATCACTTCATAATTGAGAGAAGACTATAAACAAGATATATACACATTAAAAATGTGTATAATTATTTCCAAATAAAATTGCTCATTTACTGCAAGGGATGCAGTTTGAGCAATTATTTTTCCTTATAATTTGATGGGTTTGGGGTTTTTTATTGCCTTGGAGATTGTAAGGACATGGACAAAGTGTATAAGGATAAGGCCTATTCAGTTTACTTGACCCTTTTTCCTCTTGACTAAAATGTCTATATCCAATATTTAAGGGATCTCATCAGTGCTTCATTATGAGAGGGATATGTTCCCCATGTGTTCCCAAGTGCACCTTTTTTGGGGTGGTAGTGAAATTACTAGTTTTTAAAGAATAAAAGGATTGCCATAAGTCATTGAAGACCCTTGGAAAAGTCTGGGGCAAAGGAAAAAAATAGCTTGTAGGTCATGAATCAATTTCTTATCAATCAAGTGCTGTCTGAAGAAAAAACAGTAAAAGCATGAGAAATTTCTTTCCTTAAAAAGCATTTTGCACTGGGTACAGGCCAACCACAATCAAAACCGACAAGTTAAAAACTATCAACAGTTAAAATACACACAAAAACATACCCAAGGTGGTCAAAATTGTCTCTGATCACTTTTTTGCTGTGTCTATCACTGCCTCCCTAATGCCTCCTGAATGCTATCCTAGCTATATAAATCAACCTCAGCACACAATCAAGCTATGCAAACCATACTAAAATACATTCAACTTTCTGACACTTTTAACATTATACAAAACACTGTAATTAGTGGAGAAGGAATAAAAAAAATACAATGCTTACCAGTGGGAAGTTGCTTATAATAATAAATTACAGGATGCAGGAAGTTAGACTGCCAAGCATGCTCTGGCTCTCCTACTGCACGGTTATAGTAGAAGACATCCTTGTCAGGACCAGAGAAGTTCTTTCCATACTCCATCACAATGACAAAAAGTCCATCCTGCACCTTTCTTCCTGTGCGCCATTCCAGGTCTTGTAGGACTCCAATTGGATACTCCTCCAGGTATTCAAATTTTGTAGCATTCCTAGGACCAATCAAACAAATCAATTTCAAATACAACAAGGCAAGTTGGCTAACATTGATGTGCTCAGTTAACTGATTGCAAAGGATTTTTAAAAAATAGGATTGCATTTTTAAAAATAGGATTGCATTTTCTACCATAGCTACTTCAGCATTTGGAACTAATTTGAAATTCTGCTTTATTCCATGATTATCAAGCATCAGCTATGGTGGTACCCTTGGCTAAACTCTGTACTTCAAAGAGATCTGACCACTGTCAATTGTATGTTAATGACCTAAGGATTAGAGTATTGTAATATTACAAGGAACAGCTTTGTAAAGTACAGAAAAACTTTGATTATGCTCTTGCTTGAATCTTTTAGTATTTAGTTCATTCACTGGATTTGGAATTTGGCTGAACAAAATTGTGTGACTAGAATCAATCCCACTATATAAATAAACCTTTGCACGGATACACCCTTCTCAAAGGAACAGTTTTAGAGCAATCCTCTTTAGCATGAAGGAGTGTTAATTATAAAAGAATCAAAGTAACATGGTTAACAACTAAAATTGGAAAGACAAGGTTAAATACTAAATCTAGTAATGACTTGTACTTTGGACCAATCATTTACTCTCCACCCAATCTACTTTACAGGATTGTTATGGCAACACTGGTAGAATCTGTTATTGGAAGAATAGAAAACTACTTGTATGGATAAGGCAGGTCTTATGCCTCTCAGAATCTACTTTCCAGGTATTATGAACCCTTTAGAACAGAGGTCCCCAATCCCTGGGCCGTGGCTCCCTACTGGGCCACGGCCTATTTGGAACTGGGCCGTGTGAGAGGTAGGCCGGTGTGCATATGTGAGCAGCTCCATTCACATGAGCAGTGGGCAGCTCCACTTGTGCAAGAGGCAGGCCAATGCGCATGATGTGTTACTCCTCTGCTCGCACAGCCCGGTTCCCCTCACCCCTTCTCCAGGTAGGCCGCCCAGCCACAAAGGTTGGGGACTGCTGCTTTAGAGCAGGCTTGGAGGACTCATAGTGTCATGAAAGTGGCAAAGAAGGGGAAGGAAGAAAAGAATGAGTTCCCTCTTGGTTATGCTTGGCAGAAGTTCTACTCACAGGAATTAACCAATTCCATTCACTGTTTCTAAAGGAGAAAACCCCGAGTATCATTGTTCACTCACTCTTTCAGCAAAATTATGTCTGCCAACACGCTAAACATCTGATAGAGCCCAGATGCCTCATTCACCCGCCTGACAATAGCATTTGTTAACTGCACAACCGGATTGTTGGAGGCTGGCCAGGGCACTTTGTGGTGACGGACTTCTAGTAAGCGATGAACTGCACGGGCTGCATAATGGGGGAAGAACAAAAGAGGCAGATATTATCGTTTAATATTACATGCTAAGAGAACTGCCCTAATAATAAGACCACTGAAATGTACAAGTGAATTTTGGGCTACAGCCAAAAAGCTTACTATTTGGCATAGTTTCACATTATAGCAGGCAGAAGATAAAACGTGGATAATGCTGTTACTACATTATTCTTTGACTCTTGAAGTTACAAATTCAGATTTCTGAGTCTTTATTGGCTTTCACATCTGATAGATTTAGTAATATCACAACCATTGTTGGGGAGTCCTTCCCAAAACTGATGAGGGATGCCAGAAATTAGCTTAAAAATATCAGGAGTACCACAAATATTTCCTGAGACATCCAGAAAATGCTTTTCTTTGTAGCAATAATGAGAAAGATTAGAGAATATTTGATATAGTGGGTAGCTGTTGTAAATGTACTACCTGAATATTATTTTTCCTTTGCTACCCATTTTCTTTTATGGCATATTGAAATTGTAATTTAAATATTATTACAATACGTAAAAAAGTATTTGGCATTGTAATGCTTATATGTTGCATAATAGCTAATTGGCTTTTGAAGCTGAAATTTAGTTGTGTTTTTCATTTGCATTTGCTACTTTCATCATTGTGTACAATAGAAAAGGTATTGCTGAAAAAACGCATTATTTTATTTCTGTTGATAAATTGGAAAAAAGAATGGAATAATTTGCTAAAAGGAAAAAAAGAGAGATGGGCCTCAAATGCCAGAACAATGTCACTGCTGAGCTTGCTCACATTCACTTTCTACCCATGTCAAAAACTCACCTGTGTATCGGAAGCCATGAATAAAACCACCAGCAGATTTCCTAAAATCCACTGAGTGGCTTGCAGTTCCGAGAAGAAAGAGACCTCGAGTAGCTTTGGCTTCATAGCTGGGCTTGATCAAAGGATACTTCTTCTTACTGCCTTTGCCATGCATCAAACCAACAGACCTAGGGAGGAGTGGGGAGAGAAACTCATCGAGAATGGAGTCTGGCTGACTTCACAGATTTCAATAGAAGGGACAATGTATGAGCTTTGATCTTGAGACCATGTTAAAAGGCTCAGGAAATATCTCTTTCCCAGTGATACTTTTTCTCGGCATAAGGCAACTATCTAAATGTATGTTTAAGATAGATAATATCAACAGTGTTACCTTGGGTAGAGCTGCAGGTCCTTCATTACAAGTAGTATGTAGTATATAAGTATATAAGTAGTAGTAGTATATAACCTATAACCACAATTAGGGCCAAAATCTCAGTCCGTGAGCAAAGTGGTTATTATGCAAGATCCCTTTGTGACTGCTTCTCTCAATGACTGCAATGCTGGCACTCCTGGTTATGGTTGTTACATGAGCTCTTGGGTTGTAAGTAGACAGTATTCCTTACCAGAATTCAAGCAGGATTTTCAGCACCCAAGTGAAGAAGTGCAAGTGCAACCTGCATGGGGCTCCTAGGACATCCCCCCACTTGCCTGAAGCAGCTCCCACTCTTTTCTTTACCCTGATGCCCTGCCACTCAGGTTTCAGTTCCCTTTCATCTCTGGGGACTGGCTGAAAGAGCTGCCTGCCAAAGGAGGGGCTCTGGGTCACGAGCTCTGGAGAGCTATAGTTTAATTTCTTGACAACCAGACATATCATAATTCGGGCACAGAACCAAAGTATACCCATACATTGCTGCGCTGAAATTAAACAGAATTATGATGCAATTATATTTAGATAAGTGCACCCCAAACTGCAGAGCTACTGGCTTTTTAAAGGAGACCAAAGCAAGTTTCATATGTGACATAATAATCTTGTTCTATTTAAAACATTTAAAGCAAGAATGGAAACCAATTAATTGTTATTTTATTTTAGACTGAATTAAGAGATAGGAATAACAAAATGGTTGCATGAGAAAAAAAAAAGTTAGAAGAACAATTTACTGCTCATTCAGTCCTTGAAGAATAAAAGATAATGTCATGGGAATAGCTAAGCACTTTAGTCAAATCCCCAAACTATGGAAAACTAATTTTGCCAACGTGAAATAGATCATTATAAAATACTGCAAATATTACATTTAATAAAAGATGGGAAAGCGTTTTGCATGACATTTTGTTTGACTTGCGACTCCATCCATGCCACATACTTATCTATACATATCAACCAGGGCTGTCAAACTCACAACAATACGCTGTCATCATGTGACGTATTGCAAGTTTTCCCCCCTTTGCTAAAATGGGGGTGACCATGGCCAGCATGTGATGCAGCCAGTCCGTGGGCTGTGAGTTTGACACTCCTGATATCAACTCCTTCAAACATCCTATCTCTCTGTTACATTAGAAGCAATCCCATCTTACTTGTTGAATATGGCAAAGTCAAACTTCCAACCCAGGCAGCGAATGGCACGGTCATAAGGTGCACGAGTGGCAAAGTTGTCTAATTCATCCTGTGGAAGAGTGACAGATTCTGGGTCACTGCTATTGCTGTTCTCCAAATAGTACCGAAGGGTGATATGCAGCTTTCCTTTTCTGTCTTTGATGAGAACTAAGTCTTCTAGATCACCTTCTATAAGTCCATCCAAAGACTTCAACTGGTATGTATCTAAGAGCCCATTGTTAATTGCTCTAAGGAAGAAAGAAAGAAAAAACAATAAGGGGGATGTAAATTTTACATGCCATACTTAGAAAAATGGCTGCCACTCATTTTAGCAATTCTAAATTAAATATAGAAGCTCTCTGGCTAGGTATGAAGCAGCTTCCTGTGTTGCTATTATGTCCTATGTTAGTTTTAGTATTCTGATGGAGAAAACTACTTTTGTTTTACTTCAAATTATTATATTTTCTTTTGTAAATATACTAGGAAGATGATTAAAAATGTAACAAAACAGAATGCCTTGTGGAAGACCATAAAGAATAAGTGAGGGAGCAGTCTTGGTTTTATTTTTTTTCTTATAAGGAGGGTTTACAATCACGTGTTATAATCAAAAAAATTACTTCCTGAATGTACTCACGCTAAAAAGTTGTGAATGGCCATCTTTCTGTAGTATAGGAGTTAAGGTACTAGACTAAAGGTTGGTAGGTTCTAGTCTTCCTTTACATGCAGAAGATATTTGGGTGACTTTGAGTTAAACATTCTTTCTCAGTCTTAAACAGGGAGGATGAAAAACATACCAACCCACATTGGATCAACACGATAGATTTAACATAACATTAAGTGGCAAGGGCTTCATGCTATAGCAGACTTGTTTGAGATCATCATCATCCCCAATCCCCAAAATGTCAACTTTATATCTTACTGAAATCAAGCATATCTCACTTACGGGTCTGTACTTGCTCATACCATACTTCTCTCACAGATATTCCATGTCTTGTTCATTGAAGACCAAAAATAAAAGGTCCACTCTATAACAAATAGCAGTGACCAAAATGCTTCTGCCAGGTTCTTCAAAGAGTTGCTGATCTATTTACTTTAAGTCTAAGCAGTTAAGAGAGGGACAGGCATGAAAAGGGAGATCGGGCTTGGAATGATACCAAAGGGCAGTACTGTTATCAAACAAAATAGATGCTGCATATGGACTGGTTGCTAGAGAAAAAGTGGGCAAAAATGGTCTGTTTGGCATATGGCAGTCTGAATTATTAGTCTACACAACACTCCCCCCAACTGTCTCATGTTGTCCTGGCTGTTCTTCTGAAATAATATTACATTCTACTCAAGCCAGAATAGAGAGGCAGAGTTAATCTCTGTTTACTGGACCAACCAAGATGATGTGCCTTCCCAAAAAAACAAATTGCAGGGTTACCCTCCCCCCCAAAAATGGTAGGAAACACGTTGTTCCAACATCTGTTGGGAGATGAATTCTGAAAAGCACAGTCCTTCCAGAAAATTCTTGATTTCTCCCCTTAACAGCTTTTCCTTCAGAGTCAACAAAGGTATAAGAATCAGTTATTCTTGATACGATGCAAACCAAAAAGCACACTTAAACTAGAAAATGTAGTTATTATTTGAAAGGAAATTGAGTACAATTGAAAGCATATCTTGGACTTCATGAAAGATTTTAATGAACAGAGAGTAGGATTCCATCACTGGAGAAGTTAACAGGAAGAGGAGCTCTAAGTGGGTGGAGTTCCTAAACACGGAGGGTATTACAGACAACAACTGGAAGCTATTCTAGCAAAGAAGCGCAATCCAGCAGTAGACAATGATATGGCTGCACAAAAGGCTTACTAAATTCCAGAAGCAAGAGGAACTCTATGGGAGATGGAATGAGGGACAGATTCCTTAGAATTATACAACAGTCCAGATTATAGAAATATTAGAAAGGCTAGAATTCAAAATGAATCTAGCTTGATTCATTAAACCAAACTAAAGCATCACCTCAGATATGTTTAACTTAAATGGAGAGAAAAGAATTGACGTAATAGAAAATATGGCAAAATATTAATAGGTTACAATGAAAAACCAAAACAATTTGATTCCTAATTTGGCTTCTCTAACAAGAGGGTATATGTTCCACCAGGCAATTATAAGAAGCAGAATAAAGAAGCAGGATTAAGACTAATCATAACATGATCGGGGAATCCACTTTTCTCTTAATTAGTTTAATTATGTGAGGCCAGATTAACTGAAATTTAGGGTAATAAAGATACTTGAAAATACTGTAATGCTTTTTGCCAAGAATATGTCATGGCAGACTAAACTTATTTTGTGACCAGTTATCTTTCTTACACTAGAGAAATACTGTAGACATACTTCATACAATATCTTGGTTTAGCAGAATATTTGATAGAATGCCTCATGATATTCTGATTAGGAACCTAATTAAAATGGAGATGCATCACATGACCTTGAAATGAATATACAGCTATTTCAAAATTCATATTCAAAGTGTGCTGATCAATAGTTCCGTTAAACTGGAGGAAAAGACCAAGTGGAGGGCAACAAGATTCAGTCCTGGCTCCTGAACTCTTCAACATTTTTATTTGGAATTTGGATGAAACACATTTAAAAATATGTATCTTTTATCTCTGAATATATGTAACAGTTCATATGAATATGAAGTCTTACCTCAGATCTCCAACGTAATGAGTAGCCCAAGAAAGACGAACTCGAGATCGGCCTACCATGTGTACAAAATTGGTGACACCCAGAATGTTCTCTGCTGTTTCAAAGGCAGAATTTCCCCGACCCAAGATCAATACAGACTGTCCAACAAAATCTTTTGGATCGATCGACACAGATTCATAACCTTCAACATATTCTGAACCTGGAAAGTTCACCTTGTGAGGAACCCACATACCTGTGGCCACCAAAAGAACACTAAAATAGAGAAAAAGCATTTTGATTATGGTCAGTCACATTGTATGTCAAAATACCTTTCTCTAGTGCTGTTTACATGCTTCACAAAATCACCAAACTCTTATCTCAGCAAAAAAGTTGTGCAGCAAAAAACTGATTTATACAAAAATTCGCTCTCAGATAGTTTAGAGTAGGGTAGCCATTTTTACTTATCAATTTAGTGGGAGAACAAACAAAAGATCATACTATAGCAATTACTAGAAACAGGCTGAAAAGACAATTTTCATACTGCAGTATAATTTAATCGAGTGAAAATCTATGTTGAGGCTACTAAAAGAGTTTGATTAGAAAACAGCTACTATATTTTCCATTCTCTACTTCTAAAAACATTTGATGTGACTATACTGGAAGTTTTGTTGCTGTGATTGCAAACAGGGCAAACAAAACTAGAAATAAAACAGGCAACACAACTGATCCAGCATGTTTAAAGTAACTTTAATTAGTAGAAAAGATAAGAGTTCAGTTACTGGTGAAAGAAAAGAGAAAAATTGGCACAAAGGGATAATATAAGACTTTACAAAATTATAAACTATACAGAAAAATAATCTTTCTCAATCATGTTACCTACTTAAAGGTTTATATACTCCCCACTCTCAGTAACTATATAAAGTCTCACTGTAGAAAAGATGATAATTCTTGATAATCAAAACTATGGGAGAGTGTCCTATTGAGGAACTCAGTGCACAGGATGGACTAATTGCCATTTGAAGCTAAGCCATGTAATGCTTCATATACCACAGGAAGGACCTTGAATTATGTCCCACAAGCAATCAGTGCAGCTATTTCAACATGAGGATAACGTGGAATCTCCTGGATTGCTCACCATGCCTGCTGCTGCATTTCAGACCACTAGACTTTCTGAAATGTCTTAGAATAAATTAACCAGCTCACATCTCACTGACAGATCTGTCACCTTCAGCAATGTGTCCATATTCCAAATGGACGTCTGTAGGGAAAGTTATGTTGGTGAGTGAAGGAATGGAATGTGGGTGTGTTTAGGTACCCAGCTGTATCTTGAAAGGGGTCTCTCTGAAATATGTATTGGCACTTAAATTAACTTCAGTACCCAAAAGATGGTTCATGCATGCACAATACTAATAATCAAGAACACCTGCATTTTTACTATGGGAGCATCCATGGAATATGACATTTTTCTATAAGCAGAAGAAGTTCTTCACCATTTACCTGCATTTGTAATTCTGATCATTTTGGTCTCTGAGGATGAAGTAATGACCATTCCAAGCACTAGGATCTTTTTCCAGCATCACAAGTACAATGGATGTGTTATAGTGTACATGGAGGTCTAGTTTGGAAGCAAAATCAGCCAGATAACGCACCATAGAATCAGCATCAGGGAAGAAATCCTGAGAGTAGTGTTGAAAAAGCAGTTGGTTATTGTGGCTAAGCAATGAGTTCCAATCATGGCGAAGGTTGAATTCACTGTTTGATTTGCCAGTGTAACGTTTATTGATGCTGATCAATTTTCGATGACGGGGATACAAGGTGAAAAAGTACCCTGGTGTATTTCTACGTTCAAAGACAACATAGTTCCGACCTGCATGTTGAAGGAAATAGGCCATCTGCAAGCCTGAAGGGCCAGCCCCAATAATACAATAGTCATGGTAGAGAATGTCATTAGACCAGGAAGAGGCTACGGACAAGGCAAAGATGAGCAAAAGTTCTTCCCCATACTTCAGAAATGATAGCACCATGTTGCTGGTAAGGTGTCTAACTTTGTTCAAGGCACTTTTGAGAAACTGATAAGGCAAGAAAAAGAAAAAACATTCAATTTTTTAAAACTTGCTTTCCTTGCACTGCACAATGCAAAATAATACATTCTATACTTTGTTTTGGTTCACATGTAATATTAGGCCCTGGATTACTTAACTACATGTTACAGAATATTTATACAGTGTACATACTGCTTTTCTACTCGCTTAGCAGGATTCTTGTGCAACAGTAAGCAATGTACCATGGCTGCCAAATTAGAAGGAACAATTTAGCAAGTTGTGCCAACCCAAACAAGCCACATTATGGCTTATTGCAATGTGTGGACCAAGACAGCATCCCTCTCCACCCCATGTCCCCCTCAATCTCTGAGATTTAACCACAAGGTCTTTCTCAATTCCATTCCAGGAAGGGGGAAAAGGTTAACTAAACATCTCTTTTACAGACTGTATCATCTCTAAGACCATTGCCTAACTGGAATACAAGACAAAACTGGATTGCTATGGGCCATTGTGGCAAGCTCACATATTTGGTCTGTGCAACCATTTCCCATGTTCCTGTAAGCACATGTCCTATACTAGATTGCTGGGAGGATAAATGTGCAAGGGAGTTATCCATGTCAGTATTGAGATAGAAACAAAAAATTCAGACAAAAATAGCAATCCCTTTTAACAGAAATCAACAATAACAGAAATTACTATTAACATTCCAGATTGCTAAAATAAAGTCAGATGGCTGGCCTTAACAATGTTTTACCTACTTGCACACACTAGCAGCTCTGCAAAGTTCTTTGACAAAAACCATTATTCAATCTTGGCAAGGCAGAATGGGTAGAATAGTATCCATCACCCTTGAACCTTGTGAGGAAAGAGGACATTATTATTCTTTTAGGAATAAGGGAGAGTGAGAAAGGGCACATGAGCTACAGAAGAGGCTGCCCAGTCTCCTTGATGTCTGTATCCAAGCTTTGATTACATCTGAACCTTACTGAATCTCATTTTATTTCTATATGTATATTTATGCATGCTCATGCATGAATAGAACAAAAATTATAAATCTAAATTTAGTACAAGAAAAGCATAACAACATGACAAAAATGTTACTGTCTTAATCAAGGAATTCCTAGAAAAGGTTTGGAACTTTGGATTCAATAATATAGTCAGGAAAAAATGGCATTCCATTTCTGGAAAAAATCCTGCTCTCATTGCCTTGTCAATAAGAAATAGAAGCAACATTTTTAATGTGGTGGTCATGGATTGGATGGGTGGGGAACAACCTTTTATTTAGTATTCCTATGCTAATCGTATCATCTTGTCAATAACATATGGAAATGGGTGGTCTTGTCTTCTTCCAGCGCAGTTTTTTGAAAAGTTCCAGGTTTTGGCCCTGGGATTTCCTGCAGATCTCCCTTTCAAGTCCTAAGCAGGCTACTAAGCAGGTTTTTTCTCTCTCTCAAGATTAGCCAAGTGCTGCCACCTGCTGTGATAGTTTCTTTACTAGGACTAACAGGGCCACCCTGTGCATTATTATTAAGGGCTGGAACAAGATTAATATGGGCCCCCTCACCTACACATTAACATCTCCCCCTCCCCACCACCCTGTGGAATTCGTGTTACTCCCTGCACGGTGGCTCCTTACAAAAAAGAAAAGGGCGGGGGGGGAACGGGGCTGCCAGGGCAGCGAAGCAGATTAGGAAGTGGGGTGGGGTGAGGTAAGGCCGAAGTACAGAGAGTATGGAGTACGGAGTCCACATAGCCCACAAGTAGATGGTGTTTTTTTTTCCCCCCAACTGGGAGAAGAATGATTCACTCTAGTCCAGGAGTGTCCAACCTTGGCAATTTTAAGACTTGTTGGACTTCAACTCCCAGAGTTCCTCAGCCAGCAAAGCTGGCTGAGGAACTCTGGGAGTTGAAGTCCACAAGTCTTAAAGTTGCCAAGGTTGGACACCCCTGCTCTAGTCTATAGGAATGAAAGAAAAGTGACACTTCCCTCGCCCCTCTCCTCCTCTGGTTTATCCTCCTGTGTTTTAAAGCCACCTCTTGGCAGTTACCCTTTGGCACGGCTGGCATACACAGACCCTCCGACTAAGCTAACAGTGGCCCCTCCTTCCTTTTGGCATGAAGGATTTCGACAGGTGAGGAGCAGAAGTTCATTCATTCTTCAAGAACTGGGGAGAAGGGGAGAAAGAGAGGAGATGGTGGATCATTGCTGCCGCTGCTGCTGTATGGGAAGGAAGACGCCTGCCTTCCTTCCTTGCCTTTTGCCCTCCAATGAGTTGATTTGATCCAGCTTTGGAGTGTTTTACTCCCAGCGTCCCCCACCCCTGCTCGGGCCGTCCAGGTTGAGACACCGTCCCGCTGTTTTTCTTTTTAAAAATTTGGTTTTGTAAAAGTTTTTTTTAAAGATTTCCCCTTCATGGGCCCCCTTTGAACTCCAAGGGCCCCAGCTGAACCTCCTTAAGCCTGAGGACTAACCCAAAACATCTAGACATGGTGTAGAAACCTTCAAATTCTCTAGAACTCTTCAGGGAAGTTTTGACGAATAGAAAACCCTGTGTATCCGTTATTTAGCTTGGCCTAATCACCCAGCTAATGAGTTTGAATTATTTTCCCCACAGACCAATAGCTTCTTAGAGAAAGAGCCGCTGGGCGTTTGCAGAAAATGCCAGTAAGAAATGCGATTTCAAGCATGCACTGAACCTACCTCGACCTGGTGCCTTCCAACGGCGTTATGGAAATCGTTGTTTTAACATGTTTGCAAGCCATCTAGAAGGAGGGAGGGGACAGAGGGGCTGAAAAGGATCCCAAGGCTGGCAATGCCTGACCAACCCAACACGTGCAAGTCCCCCTCGGATTCCGACAGCATAGAAACAACGCAGCGCGTCTTGTGGACCTCAGCTGCGAACAGTCACAACACTCAAAGGGGAAAAGGACGCGACCGGCAGCCCGCGAGATGTGCGGACATAACTGAGGTCTCCGTTGGCAGCAGAGCTGCTAGTTAAGGCTCAGCCACTAGCGGATACATGCAGCAAGGGGCGACAGGCCAGCGTGGTCGAGGCCATGGACCTCCGGATCCTCCAAGGTAGAAGCAGCCCGAAAGCACCCGCGACACCCGGAGCTTCAGCAGCTCGTCTCTCGCGCCTCCTAAGCGGATCAGCTCAGCCAGCCTCCAGGCAGCCCGAGGTCCACGTCACGTGACGCCGTATTCCGAGCAGACGCCAGGCCCTCCTCTGCCTCATTGGACTCTCATCTCCCCCCCTCGCCCCTCCGTCATGTGGTCCTGTGGAAATGGCGAGCTTCGTTTTGTTCGAAAAAAGCAGGCGCCAAAATGTCTGTCTCTGAGAGTCCAAGGATGGAAAACTTTCTTCTCACAAAATGCACGATGAAATACGAAAAGCGCAGTATAAACACGCGGGCCGAGGAATTAGATGCGAAGAGAGGGAAATCAGGAGCTAAAATACAATGTCAGTGGCACATATAGCACCCACTCTTAAAATCCTGGGCAAAACGACACGCTAAAGCTTGTTCGCCCGCCTGGGTTGTTTGCAAAGTAATTTACTGCAAATTATCCGTCTATTAGCCTTGTGGGTCTGAAGCCTTGCTTCGTACTATAATTTGCCCCGTGAACTATTTTCTGGATGAAACCTTACTTCATATAAAAGCGTAAGGACGGAAATGGAATTAAAAGCTAGAATTTATACTTTTTAAAAAAGATCAATTTTTCTTCCTAGCAGGATTAAGGAAACCCTATCTAAAATACACCACCATCTCTGTCTTTATTTTCTGAGATATTGGTTGCTACTCTATTTTTCTAGCATCCATTCATTTAGCCAGATGAAAAGTACTGGGAACCTTTATCTTCAATTGAGCTGGCATTTATTTCTGAGAACTGCTGGCAATCTTAAAGCACTGGCCATCCTTATGCATCTAGCAATAACTCAGGCTCATTTGAGGATATTCCATTAGTTTGCTTGACCCCATCCATCCATCCATCCATACCTGATTTTCATTCTCTCAACCACACCAAAATATTTTCTTTAGCCTGTCCTAACGCTAAGACCAAAGCATGTTAGTTTCTTCTTGATATCACCTCAACAAATCATTTAACCTTTATTTAGTCTAGATTTCAGTTGTGGGGGACATATTCTTTATATATTCTTTATATGTCCTACATTTGTATATTAAACAGTCCCATTCAAGGCAAAAATTGATTTCCCCCACAACTGAAAAACCAGTAGGCCAGGGATGGGGAACCTTTTATAGCTCACTCAGTAATTCTGGGAGTTGAAGTCCATAAGTGATAAAAGAGCCAAGTTTCCCTACCCCTGCCCTGGGCGGATGACAATCTTCACTAGAGCTTATTTTTGGGGTAGGGCTTATATTAGGTGCACACTTAAAAATCAGGCTAGAGCTTATTTTCTGGATAGGTCTTATTTTGGGGGAAACACGGTACTTCAATGTAGTAATAAGACAAAGGACACATTTATCAAGATTATGATGTTTATTTCTTAAGGTCTAGCCAAACAAGGTGCAGATTCAGCTCTGATCCATCTTTGAAGAATAAAAAGTCGAATGACCTTCAAGATGCTGTTGACCCTACTGCCTGGTTGTAAAGTTCAGCTCTCTTCTTCTGCAACACAAAGACAGATCAGAATGGAAAATGTCTTTCTATCCCAAGCCACACACAAAATCCTTAATTTCTGCAGTTTGCATATATTCCTCAGTATTAATTTCTGTATGTACAGTAGAAACCTTCATCAATCATTTGACAATCAAACGGCAGCAATGTTTTTAGCAAAAACTTATGAAATTTCCCCAACTGTTTATATACAGCTGAAATCAGAAAAGACATAAAACGGATTTAAAAATAAAAGATTAATATTGTCAGGTACGAACAACCAGACCCACAGGTGCTAGTAGAAGTAGTTCAAGCTAACTACTTGATTAGATAAGGCTCCAAGGAGTTCAGGGAGGGCCAGTTCTGGTTCTGGCCCTTTTACAGTTGCACAGTGATTCTAGACTAGTTCTGCACTTATCCCTCATACCTGCCAGGCAGGGTGCTTCTCAACAATATTCAGTGCCATATGCATTCTTTTAAATTCTTGACTAAGGAAACTAGATACCATTCTGAACGTCTATCTAGATCCACTTATTTATTTATTTCCCACACACTATTTGATAATCACAGGATGCTGTTCCACTTTGGATAATAGCTTAATTTAACCCTTTTTAATCTATGGAGTAAATTCGGCAAAATATATAACCCAATATACTGATACAGCATGCTATGAATAATTTTATCATGTAAAAGATGTTGGTAGAATGATGGAAAGTAGCCTCTCAAACAACTTCTTTTGAAATAAGACTTTTATACACTATAACCTCAATTGGATGTATCTCAAACAGGCACCTCTAGCAAGACAAGTTTCCAAAGATGAAAACATATTAATATGCTTTGATAATATGAAAATTTGTATTTGTACTTCTTTGGTTTTTTTTAAGATAAATTTTTTGTTACTATTTTATTTAAGGTCTTTGTTTTTTGTATGTAACCTAAAACTTTGCATTTAATAGTACCAAAATGCGGACTAGCTAGCTAGCTAGCTTGCTAAATCTTCAAGAAAACACAACTCCTATCCCTTTGATATTAAGCAACAAGGAAGGATTGAGACTTTTATTCTCTGAAACATCCAAAAGCAGCAGCTAGATGTGGAAAATAAAATAATTTAGCCCCTTCCAAACTGTGGGATGAATTAATCCAGGATGGGGAAGAACCCCAATATACTGAGAGCTCTCTGCAAGATGACTACTCAGAATATATTAAGAGTTTTTATTCTGAATCTGCTCAAGTTGTGCCTAATTTCTTTCAAAGCTATTTTTCCTCTGAGGTTCATTCTCCCTTTTGGATGAGCTACCCACTTTTCATTCTTTACACTTACTCTTTAAAATGTATTTCTTTTTATCTAGCCCAACATTTTTTAAAAAATGGTAAAAATATTATTTTAAACAAATTTTTTTGAAGGGTTTGTGTGTACTATGTGCCCAAGAAGGCCTGAGGCTCTACAATATGGATACCATAACCTGGTTTAATGTGTCCTAGTATTTCCTGTCGCAAAATTAGGATGCCTTTTGCTTCTTTTGGCCTTCCAATTTTAATTCTGGTTGAGACACAGAAGGTGAGGGCAGCAAATACCAGTTGAAAGCTGTAACTTCTACATCACTGAAGGCTATTCTAGTCAGATGGGTTAAGTTCTGGTTGTGAAAGAAAGTTTAAGAGTAGTGATTTATCTAGCAGTCTTCTGAAATTATTACCTTCCTCTTCCTCTTCCTCCTCCTCCTCATCTTCCTCTTCGTCAGAGCTGAAGGTGCCATCAGGCAGGCTATAAACTCGGATAACTTGCTTGTTGGGATCCTTCAGGATAAGGTACTTGCCCTCATCCAGTTTCATGCAGATGTCAATGACACAGCGCAGAATGCCCCAGGCGTTCTCCATGATTAAATTAATTTGGCTTGCAAATTCATTAGGTTTGAACTGCTGTGTGCCAAGAATCACATGACGTGAAGAATCTTTCACATGGTAACGGGAGACGTATCTAAGCAAGGTTGAAGAGACAAAAGTTAAAAAGTGCAATGATGTAGTCCAAAGTACTAGAAAAAGATGGACTTCAAGGTTAATTTGACTCAGCTAATTATGAAGTTGCAGACTCACCTGTTTCACAAATAAGTTTCACAACTTAGATAATGTATTATTTCTGTCTCAATTCTTTTATCTTCAACATATATTGAAAGATATGTACCTTTAGGAAAATTAGTACTCTGCAGATATATGGTATGTAAGAAGTGGCTTTTCAGAAATTTGGTATGGCTATTAGCAGAGTATTAACTGGTAGCCATGTCTAAAACCCAATCAGCCCTTAATTCATCACTATAGTATCACTGTATCAGTAGCATTTCTTCTATATATATAGCACAAAATATTCTCAGATTAGTGAACGAATGATACAACTTTGCTGTGTCCTGTTCCTCTAAGGTTATAACTGATACACCTGTGCAAAAGCGTTCTTGACTATGATCTCCACCTGCTTTTTAAGAAGGACCCATAAGGCCAGGACGACCCTAGATTATTTATTTGTATCACCTTAATAATTTTTTTTGCAAATAACTCAAGGCAGTAAACATATCCAACACATCTTTCTCTTCCTATTTTCCCCACAACGTTTTCCCCTGTGAGATTGGACTGAGAGTGTGACTGGACAAAGTCATCCAGCTGGCTTTCATGGCTAAGGCAGGAGAAAACTCACAGACTCCAGCTTTCTAGCATGGTGCCTTAATCACTAGTCCAAACTGGCTGAGACTACTCTTTCCAGAAGAGTATAAGAATCCTAGAATCAGCTGGTCTCTGAATCAAGGTGTATGAGCCAGATTTTACCCTAACAGCCTCCAGGCATTGGACCAAGAGTTCTACATCATCTTCAATTAGCCTGAGATGAAGATGTATAACTGAATTTTTATATATTGATGATACCTCACCCCAAACCAACGGATGACCCATCTCAGCAGTTTCAGGTCTGAACCTGGATTCCATAACCAAATATTGGGGTGGGGGTGTTACAACTTATTCCAACAATCCTCTCATGTCAGAGCAGGATCATCATCATTGTGCTTCCAACTCCTGATCCTCCCTCACAGTCCAAAAGGATGCTGTGGTCAAAAGCATTGAAAGACTTAGAATTTATAAATCTGTACTTTTCGGAAAACTGTTCTTAGAGAGGTTGCTGCAATTTTAAATGTTTGCCTGAAGACTTAGTTTCCCCCTTGTACACTCCCTTTTAAATATTTTTTTTTGATCTTACCCCAATTTAAGATATTCTGATCCAGCCAGCAATGCACAAGTAGTCCAACGAGCAAGTTTGTAACTATTATTTTTCAGTTCAGTGGCAATCACAGCTCCTCGCTGGGAATCCAGTTTCTGACGCCAATCTACTCCATTACAATGCTAGAAAAATACACAAGCATATCAGATTTTCAATTACACCATACCATATTATAGTAATTTACAAACAGGCTCTACATGTGACTGTTGTGGTCCGCTGGCAGCCTGAGGAGACGGCAGCAGAGTTGGACAGTGGGGAGGAACATGAGTCTGGGAAGGACTCGAACAAGGGT